GTATTAGAGAGTAGTATTAATGTTTAACCATCTTGAAAAGACGAGTTTTTAAGGTTGGGAAAGCTCGCTAGATGTGTTCCAGCCCTACCATCCATGTTTACTTCTGTAAACACGGAGCACGCTGGCCTGTGATATCATTGCTCCCTCTACTGCACATGCAGGACAACTTGCATTGTATGAATGCAGTTCACGCGGGAGATCAAATAAAGGTTGAATATATTTGGAAATGTAAACAACAACACACACACAAAAAAATCTGAACTCAGCATTGAGGGTTGCAGTGTGAACGTAACCTATGTTAATTAAAACAAAAACCCCATGTGGGTTGTTTTTAGAGTAGACTAAGGAAGCTAAGGAAACTTTGAAAAGCCAGGTTTGCATATGAAGGAACTAATGCAGATCTACCAGTAACTCTACTATAGATATTAATTACTAAAATAATGGGGATTTAAATTAATCAATTTACTAATTAATACTTGATAACATTTTTGTTTTAGAGTTTCAGAGTAATATTGTGTGTATTTAATATGATTTCATATTTTAAGTCATTGCTGTTCTTCAAAAATCAAGTTTAAGGTAAAACAAATCAACATCTTTTAAAGTTCTGATTATATCTCTTTACTATCCCCATTATAAAAAGTCCCTTTATGTCCTACAAGCTTCTGTCTTAATGATTTCTAACTGATCTTACATTTTCCTGCAATAATACATATGCATGAGTACATCACTTGTAACTCTGGTGTCTGCGCAGCATATTATGTTGGCTTTCTCCTCAAACAGCAGCTCACCGTGTCGATGTGGTGACAGGAACCAACCGAGTTGTTGACCCCCATCCAGTGGTGAAAGTCGGGATATTCTCCTTTCTTCAGGTAGTACTGGTTCCCAGTGTAATTGGGTTTTTCATAAATCATAAAGCATCCACTCTCCACCCTGATGGAGTTGCACTGACTCAGGTTGCTTAGCAGGTCTGAACAGTCTTTGGAGCACTCAAAATGGTGCCCAGAGAAATCTTTATCATCATAGAAGATAATCTAGATGTCGATAAAAAAAAATAACTGTAGTAAAACTACAGATTGTAACCAATTTCTTTCTTTTTTTTTTTACCTTTCCCATGTTTGCTGCTTTTCCTGTCCCGCCTGAACATGGCCACCTCTGTGATACATGCTCCCCTTTGAGGACCCTGACCTGAATGTGAATAGTTGACTCTGCATATGGCATTCATGTTGTTGAAGCCAGGAATCAGTGGTGTTTGTGTCCCACTCCTCACATTCATATGTTTTGGATATATATATATATA